GGCTTTAACATACTCTTGAGTGTCCAAGTACAGAGAGAGGTACTAACTCAGCAGCCCTTTCAGCAAGCGACACTGCCATAAGACCTGTTGGTTGATAGAACCGAATACCACCTTCAAGTCAAGAGATATACAACCAATGTCGGGCGTCGGCATGTGTGCGTGTTCCAGAGTGACTACCTGGTCGATATACCCACAGACCAGGTCCGAGGCCCACCTGATTTTGCCGCGTTTGCTCTTCCTGAGCCCCACTCAGACATCTAAAGATTATTGAATTTAGAATCCTACATTTGTCAGGATGATTCCTCTGCGGCTATCACAAGAGGACTTCTTAACACTTGAAAACTGGAACAATCAGTGACTGAGACCAATCGGAGGGGATCATATCTGACTTTCATAAACTATTTGCAGTGGTCTTGTTACTGTAGTTTTCCCGTGTTAATCCAGGCAAAGATATAACCGTGCTGGAATCACCGCATGATCAGTATGCAAACGTGGCCGCAAAACCAACAGGACATCTGTTTGAAGTCAGTCACACACGGTCATTTGAGATTCAAGTTTCTTACTTTAGACTCCAACTATGAACTCATATCCCCGACACTGGTATGCCGCGGGGCAGAGTGAAGTGTGCTGCTTTGGGGGAGAACCTTTTCTACTGCCCCCTCCTCTTCCAAATAGGAAAAGTAACATAAGCATAGTACTGCTAGTCATCCAGGGGGAAACAAAATACTGCTGTCGCATCCTGGTTCAGCTAGCAGTAGGTTCTCACTCTCCGACCCCTATTATGGGTCGTCTCACTACTAATTGACCTTCCTTATACATGACCTCAAGGGAGTAAGTATTCCAGTAGCATGACTCGCTGGGTCATTATGATACGCAAGCCCGACCACTATATCGAGGTAGTAGCTATCGGTAGGGACAGCCTCATGTGCACATTGAGGGTGCCTCTAAGTAACTAAAATGCATTGGCCTAAGGTTTCCAGATGACTTAACCAAAGTGCGCAAAACACATTATGCCAAGATGGTCAGATAGCAAACCTACCTTGATGAACATATCACAGTATGTCGTTGAATTTCAGTTACTAGTGAAAATGTTATGCAGTTGCTACATTACGGCCTACTGGAATTCTATGATAAAATATTTTTATTTTCCCATGAACTTTATTTTCCGGCGAAAACCTTGTTCTTGTCTAGGAAAATGACACAACCCCAATGACAAAATATGTATAAATTAGTGCCTACATGAATCTCCTATCCAAAATAACTATCCAAAAAAAAGTGAACACAGTTATGTCAATATTTTCCACATTCAACCAATTCGGAATAGTCTAACCCGCTTCTGATTACTTAGATCACTAACATGGTTCTCTAGTCCTTGGATCAGTTTCATTTGTATTAATCAGTAAAAGTGATATCTGATTTGATTATTTAAGCTTGAAAGAAAACATTTAACCGACGTCTATAATTAGCAGAGTTCACACCACAATTTTTTCAGCAATGATTCTGTAATCAGTGATCTATGCGCACTGTTAAATTATCATGATACACCCAAAATTAGAGTCGTAAATTTTTAGATCATTATCAACATAGGACCAGGCATTACTGCGTAACGGTCCGAGTTGCCACACCTCATATCAGCACATCAAGTGAAAAGGTAGTGAGGTGAAGGATGAAGATAAGTGAATGCAGTCAAAAGAAATATAAAGTACGAGAAGAAAGGAAAGAGGAGTGACAAAATAGTGAGATTCGGTATAGCATTGTTAAGATGAGGATAATGTGTGTATACATCTGCGCCACTGACTTCGGTTCTGAGTCATATCACCTAGGGTCTCCAACCACTGGTTCCTCTTGTCCCGTGGACCCCAACCACCTAGTCTGCAACGTCCTACATGGCTTAAACCAACAGTCAGAGACTTCATACATTGGTGCCATGTTTTAGTCTGGCCACCTCGGGCCTTTTTCCAGCCTGAACGCACCTCAACCAACATTGTGTGACGAGGCAAAGTGATCGGGTCAACGTCTGTGTAATCAGGTGACGAGAGGGAAACCTCCATAAGAATATCTATGATAAAATTAAATAAGAATGGGGATAGTGGGCATCCTTGACGGACACCACTTGATGAGTATAGCTCCCTGGACAACTCACCATAGGCTCTAACATGCCCACAAGTGTTCGAGTAGAGAGCTTTCAATAAGGTGATGTACTTACTAGGCACGCCTTTCAGTGACAGACACTGCCATAAGACTTCTCGATCAACGGAGTCAAATGCCGCCTTCAGGTCGAGAAATACAGCTATTGTCGGGCGTCTGTAAGCATGCCTATGTTCCAGGACCTGGCGCAGTGTGAATATTTGGTCGATACATCCACGGCCAGGTCTAAAGCCTGCCTGGTTTTCTCGGGCTTGCTGTTCCCGAGCTCCACTCAGGCGTCGGAGAATTATAGAACTTAGGATCTTAGACACTATGTTTGTCAGGCTGATTCCTCTGTGGTTATCACAAGAGGACTTCTCGCCTTTCTTGAAGACTGGGATGATCAGTGACTTAGACCAGTCGGAGGGGATCGTATTTGATTCCCATATACTGGCTAACACTTCCGTTAGCCTGACTAAGAGAACTCTACCACCATTCTTGTATACCTCAGCAGGTAGTCCGTCTGGTCCTGCTGCCCTTCCCCGTTTCAGGCTACCTACCGCTTTCTCAACTTCTTCTAGTGTTGGGGGACCTGTCTCTATGTCCCATTCAGGGTCCGACTGGATAGCGGGCAGCGCAATGGTGGCTGGAGGCCAGTTAAACTGTTCCTCAAAGTGTTCTGCCCATCGTCCCAGTCGCCTTCCCTGCGAGTGAATCGCCGATCCGTCCTTCTCCGCTATAACCTCACTAACTGTTGTTGACCATTTCCCCCCAGTCTCCTTAATAAGTCTAAATAACTGTCTACTGTTACCGATCGCCGCTGCCTTTTCCATCTCTTTAGCCTTTGCTGCCCACCACTGTTCACGATCGTTGCGCAGACTTTTCGTCAGTTTATTTTTAAGTTGCGCTCGCTCTTCATTGTACTCAGAGCCTGCAGGGATGCATTCACGTGCATCCATTAGTTTGGAAGAAGCTGCTGATATCCACTGGCTCTTTTTAGCCATTATCTTGGAGTCGGCTACAGTCTCCAGTGCTGCTTTTACAGTAGACTGAAGATGGCACCAAGCTTCTTCTGGATGAGTGACAGTCTTTTGTTCCGATAACTGCCTAGCCAACTTCTCACTGAACACGGCTTTGGTGTTTTCGTTGTCCAGCAGAACTCGTAGTGGTTTTGTTGCCAAATTTTTTCTACGTCCATTGAGACGCAGGCATATACGTGCTCGGACCAACGCATGATCGCTGTCCAAACACGTACTCCAGAAGGAGCGGCAGTCTTCCACCGATCCTCTCCAGCGATGACTAATAGCAATGTGGTCTATCTGTGTCCATCGCTGAGTCGAGCTCGGTGGACGCCAGGTCAGACAGTGCCTTTCTTTATGTCTGAAATTTGTGCTGGCTAAAAATAGGCGGTTATCTGAGCATAGTTGTAATAGGCGATCACCGTTATCTGTACGTTCAGCTGGGATTCCGAAAGTGCCACCTAAGTGCCTTTCTGCCTCACTCAGTCTACCCACCTGTGCGTTGAGGTCACCTGCAACAACCACTACGTCCGAACGTTTGGCTTTCGAGAGGAGGTTAGACAGTTTATGGTAGAACTCGTCCTTCACTTCATCCGAACTACAGTCAGTGGGTGCGTAAGCAGAGATTACAAAGAGACAACGGCGAGTCTCACTATTCCTTTTAGTTCTCACTGTGCCGTTCAGCCTCATAGCGCAGAGGCGACTATCAACTGGGATCCAGTCTAGTAGTGAGTTTTCTGCCCTGGTGCTTAATGCTATACCTACACCTGCAAGACCACGAGAGCTAGCTATCGAATCTCCAGAAACTCGAAGGGTGAATTTTGCAGATTCACCAGATTGGTCAGGAGAGGTCAGGTGAATAACCACACTTGGGTCCTGTATGCGTGTCTCACAAACACAGCACACATCCATGCCCGAGTTGCTAGAGTCTTTGCCAACGAAGCCTGTTGGCCAATTTGACGGAGGGTGCGGACATTGAAGGCTCCAATATGTAATTTGGAGCGTGGTTTAAGGAGACCAGGGATGCTGTTCTGTGGACTCAGATCGTTGTCGAAGGCTGCAGAGGTAGGAGAAATTGAAGATGATGCAGCATCATTAATTAAGAGACGTGAAGGAAGATTAGAAGGTAATGATGGAGGAGGATAGCAGTCAGAAGAAACTTGGGTGCTGACAGAGTTGTGAGGGCGGTTGACACTTCCCGGCTGCCCACACCGTGGAAGGCTATTTCTTCTTAAGGTACCTGAAAGAGATTTGTGTGACCGCAGAGCCCATCGGACATCTGCTTGAGGCCTGTCACACCCAGCCTTTTGAGTATGATTATTTTGAATTTTTGTATTTTTGGGGCCGGATGAGCGAAAGGAAACGACAAGTGAACCAACACCGCCGGCCCGGCAGACCGTGGGGCGTGGTGGAGTGTGTTATTTTTGGGGCCGACCTTTTCTAACCCCCCTTCCACTGAGAAGGCAGCATCAGCTTGGCACTGCTGGTCATCCAAGGGAAACACCTTACTGCTGTCACACCCCATCCAGCTAGCAGCAGTACGACTTCGCCCTCAGACCCCCATCATAGTGTAGCAATTTACACTATAACGGTAACTGCTTTTCGTCTAACCACTACCCAACAGACCTTTCTGGTATGGTAGGACCTCGAGGGAACAAGCGTTCCACCAGCATAGCTCGTTGGGTCATTGTGATATGCAAGCCCGACCACCACGTCAAGGTAGCAGCTATCGGTCGGGAAAGAGATTGTTTAAAGTATCATATAATTAGATATTAATACAAGTATCCAACAGGTAATGAATTTATTCATACTAAGTATTTACATTACTTACTATTGTTGGGTTTAACGTTGAAGTCAATCAACCTGACAATGAAAACTCACTAGAAGATGCAAATTATAACACAGAAGATGAATTGAGTATTTTACGTGATGGTAAGTTAACTGAGTAAACTGTACTGATTTATTTTCGTTTGATCAGTTTTGATGTATTGAGAATTAATAATAAAACTGAATGCTATCTCATAAGAAGTAGGCACATATTTATTTAAACCAGCTATCAGGCTTACAACTTCGTTACTGTAACGACAGAACTAAAAGATTCCACGACTCACTAGGTTTTTATTTTCACTTTATTTACTGTTTTTTTTATATCTGACTTACATGAATGGGACGTGCATCTACTCTCACTTTCTTGTATTATCTGTCCCTCGTTCACACAAAAAGTCTGTATCTTTAAACTTTAGCCTTAATTACTTACATCGCTGAATTGCTTTTTTACATAAAAACTATTTTTGTTACCATCGCACGATGCGTATTTTTATCCTTATCGTTGTTTCACCCACCTACTAATCACTGTTTAGATATTCAATCTGCCTGAACTGTTTTGATTTGCTAAACAGTTGTTTTCACAAAGCTCATCGTCAACACAATGTGTTTCAGCTACTCTGGAGCCACATGTACCACTTGAGATGGCTGGAATCAATGTTCGCAGCACAGTACAGATTGTACAACCTACTAGTTCAGATATGAATTTAGAAAAGCAGACTACTGACGTTTCGTGTTCCGGAGACCCGCATACTAAATACCAGTAAAGCACTTCTAATGAATGAGTCTACTAATTTGAGAAGTGTGTAAAACACACAATTAATGAGGGACCCTGTCGTATTGGTACAGTCTTTGTGGTGTCAGTGTCGCTATAAGCGAACCTGCACCGGTCGACTGAATCCTTGTTAAAAGTTAGGTTTCTTATTTGGCTAAAGTGAAGAATGTGTAGCAAGGAAAATTACATCGCTCAATCACCTGTAACTATTTCCCGATAAGTCGCAACCAAAATGTAGCTGAGGATGAAGTTTACCAACATCTGGGTGATCTCCCCAATGAAGTGCGGTCGAAATATCACACTGCTGACTTGAATTCACAGATCAGATAAAAAAAAGGTAGTCGATGTGAATCAGACAGTCGCAGATAAGATAATGGAGATCATCTTCTGCAACTCAGTGTGGACCACAAACTGTCTACCACTGGCACCAACTCCCGACAAATATTGCAAGCTACCTGGTATTCTTCGTTTACCACTAAGGCGTGGATTCAGAAGAAACTTTTTCCTGCGGATTTATACACTGTTACCTTTTATGCAGCACCTGTTTACAACGTGATCACACTTTATTGTGAAGAAAATGGTGAGAGGTAAAAAAGGCATACAGCCATCTCTCCTGAGTATCGTAAGTCGGCAGTGGGCTTGCATAGAATTGCCTGATATTGTCTTACTGTGTGATAACACACAAACTACTCAATATCAGCGGACCATGTGCACGCATTCACTTTTTTGTTGCAAACCGCTATAGATAATCGAAATGGTGTCTAACCTGACACATGACTCCTGGTGGTGTGATGGATGAGAGCTTTTAAGCTTATTGAAATCCAGAGCGTCGTACGCAAATCCTCACAGAGACAGACAAAACAACGTACAGCCTTACACAAGTGCATCTCCCCAAGTTGCCACACTTCAAAATACTATACAGAGAACACGTGAGTGGGAAAAGTTGTGTGACAGAATAAACAAATTGAAGATAAAGGTTAGTGCAAATGTTCAAGCTTTAGAAGACGTCAGACAGTGGATTAATCTGCGCCGTTGTCACCAATTTCCAGTGATGTCACCAACAGTCCTCAACTACTGATTACTTTTATCTCAGGGAGTCCAGTCAGGTAGTCTACATTTCCTCACACAGTCCAGATCAAGATTCAAAGATTTAATGAGATGGTACCACGTCTTTGTCTGGTCACCCTAAACCATCTTCCAACCTAACATAACTTCTTATAAAGTTGCACGTCGAGATAGGCGACAGCTCAGCATGCGCAACACATGTCCAAGCCATCTCAGTCGATGAAGGTTCACAACCTCATTGATTGACCTGTCTATCTTGTCTAGCACCCATCGCCTGACTTCGAGATTACTCACAAGGCGGTCTCACCAAATGCGAGCAACGCTACAAGGACACCTGAGATCGAAAGCCAAACATAGATCCGTGCTAGTATTTCAGTCACGGCCTTAGTATAGCTGTGAAAAGTAGGGTAGGAAAAGCACCAGTTTTATCAGTTCTGATCCACCTCTTTTGACGTCTGCTCCGAGCTGAGGACCGTTGTCTCCGACGGACTACTTTCATTCGGTAGAAACAATGCTAGTAGTCCTCGGGCTCGGTGACGTATATGAACAAGAAAGAGACCATTACTGGTTTGGAAGAGCGTCACCAACATTTTTCTACCGATCTTTACACAGTAGAGTTCACTAGTCCTAAAGTATGTTCAGGAGTGAAGAGATAGTCAGCCCATCTGTGATGTGTCACCAGGGATAAGGGTTTGTTTGATTACTCATAACTCACTGGAAACGGTTCAGATCATACGACTGGGCAATATCAGATATGATTGAGGATCGAAGTCACTTGTGATCACTGCCGTAGTTTCCGTGTCAGTAAAGTAGTGAAGCCTTCTGAGTATATTCTGTCAAGCTGATCTTCCGATCACTCTATTTCCTTTTTTATTCTCAGAGGCTTACGTCTTTTGTTCCACTTTTTAGAGTTCGTTCTATTACCTTATAGAGTATTTATTGGTATCCATTTTGTACTGTTTGTGTAAAATAGAAACATAAGTGATAGTTAGACATAAAACTCCTCGTTTGAAGCGTAACTCGAAGCTGATATGTAACCAATCTCTTGGGTGACAAAAAAAAGTTATCCAGTGATCTTTAATTCTAATCTTTTCAAAATCGTGAATGCTCCTTTTGGTTGAATTCATCCTTCTCGTATAACTATCTGAACCTGTCAACTGAAATACTCAGAACAGTACGACTCCTAATACCTATCGAAAATTCTCTTCATTCCTATCATATCGTCTTCGTACAAATATTCCAATAATACAATTCATTCCGAAGTGAAGCCTTATAAAGAGGATGCGCTTAAAGAAAAATAGACAGCTATTAGTTAGACAATATTCTACGATAGATACAATATACTACGAAAAAGACAATCAAATACAAATATCAGGAGAACAAATACAAGGAAACAAAGAAACGGTCCCATCACACCAATCACCTTCAAAATTTTATGTTGCATTATCTTCTCTTGTGAAACTTAAAAAATTCTCCTTGTTATGTGCGCATGAAAGAAAAACCAACCACTCGAATAACGTTTAAGTTGATTGATTTAGAGGATTATTTTTTAAAACGTTAGCACAAAAAATATTTTAGTTTCCTCGAAATCTTTGTGGGGAGGTTGTACGATGGGTGTAACCAGAAGTTATACCATAGGTCGTAGAAAAATGTCTGGCTTGTGTAGCTCTAGTGTGCCCTAAAGACTGAAGAAGATCAGGTTTGTTCAACACTGATTTGGTCTCACTACTTGTCCTACTTTGATGAGTTTGTTTAGAGTTTTGGTGATCTGGGTGTCAAACGCTTTGGATACAATTAGACTGAAGTGACATTTTCATCTCTGAGTAAATAATCAGCCTTCTTGATTAGCCTTCCTTGTCAAAACTACAGTGATGCACCGTTAGTCTGCCGGAGTAAAATGACATTTACCTCATTTTTTTCAATTTTTTCACTGCTTTCTGCTTCGGATTGGTTAGCTGAGGGTAGTTTTTCTTGTTTCGGGTCAGTGCAGGACTGCTTACTGTTTCCCTTTTGTTTCCTGATTTAATCCCAATATCATAAGCGTCGATCCCAATACGGCGAATAACTTTTGCTTTAAGGAGGCCCTTGGATTGTGATTCCGTCCCTTCTGATGGAGCAGAACTTTTCTAGATCATTTCTTAGCACAAACTGAAAGTGAGAGCATTAAGCAGTCATTTTCTCCTTATTCAGGTTTCTCATTGTACACATTTGATTTTCATGCCTCGTGCATGTTACGACTCAATTATATGGTTATACGGACACCTTAGTATATATTTTAGAAGCACGCGAAGGATGAGCTACGCATAACTTGAACTAGCCTTAACCAAGTGAGATGATTGGAACGTGTTACATAAGCTAAATCATCACCAATCCCGACGTCTGATGAATTATAGTTACAGTGAAATTAAATTGGGTTAGAGGTAAAACACGGCACGAGATAATAACAACTGTCTATCAAACTTAGTCGTGGAGGCTATTCCGCACGGACCATCAAAAGTTGAAGCAGAATGACAACAGCATAAATAATTAACTTATCCTGATAACTGTATATAGCCTACAAAACTCCATTGTAGATAATGGACGTGGCTTATGAGCATAATTCACACTCAGATTAGTTTACGCTAATATCGAGCACAATTTATTGCTCATAAACGCAACAAAATCACTGTACAAATTTCAAAACTCATCTTTATAATTCAACAGCTTCTTAATCCCTTTTCAGTAGTAGCAGAGATTTCTAAATTCTATTATCACTAATCATAAAACAATAAGCTATTAGCCTATGTAAACTAATTTTGGAATTTGTTTGGTTACCCTGACATGATAAGCAATTAATTGTATTGAAAATGCCATCTAGTAAATAATAATGTACAATACCACAATAATCCAGTATGGAATAAAAAATCTTCACCAATCCGCTTGCTCACTGTCACATCTTAATATATTGTTGGTTTTCCGAACTGTAGAGGAATGCACGAACTCAGACTTCTGGGAGAGGTTGACTTTTATACATAACCTAGCAGACACAAATGAAATCAGTGGAACACGCAGTCATCCATTTTTTCACTACAAACCTAGCCATTGACTGAAACATCGATACCATTTTCGCTCGTCACCTCCTACTAACTATACGTATGCGCAACCTCACATTTCGCCACTATCGTCAGTTATGCGTCTGAAATACTTCTCGATACCCTACCTTACTGTTAACCTTTAGCTAGAATTTTATGCCACGTAGGTGCAGGATTGCAATATTTAAGTACGTCGACAGAACTGACCAATGACACATTAGAGTGTATGGCAAATAAAAAATCCAGTCTGCTGTTTACTTCTGGCAATCGGTCACATTTACAGAACAGAAATAGGCTTTAGTGACATGGAGAAATTTATTCAAATTCCCAATAATACCAGTTGCTTCAACTAGGATCGATCGTTGAGCTGATTTAGGTGGCGTTTCAACTGGAGAAATGGCCCAGTGCAAAGCTACAGCAGTTACGAAATAAAAGGTGACTGTTTCATATTCCCTGTATATAATGTAGCATGAATGGTGTTTAGTTAGTTCAACTGACCATCCCAACTTTTCGCTGTCTGAAGCTACACATGAAGAGGCAAAATGTAGTGTCGAATTATTAGGAAGATTCCAGTTTCAGCAATGCTTTAAGTATTGATTTACTCAGCAATTACTCCACTTGTGACCCGTCAATCAGTTACAGAATAATTGGCCATTCATTATCGCCATAATAATGGCAAAACAACTGACTCGATAGAGTAATAGCTACTTCGACAGATGTTGGATCGATATTAATTCACTTGTAGGACTTGTTTACAAGCACAGATCCACCAGTTCCCTCAAGTTAAATCCCTACAATAAATGTCATTAACTTTTATTGATTAAACCAAGATAGTAAAACGTGGTGTAATTAACAAGTAACAATATGGCGAAATCACATTTCAAGCACTGAGCACATTTCTTTTCTTTTCCCAGCCCAACTGTTAGTATCTGCCATCATACAAAGATCGGAAGCCAATCTAGCGATTTTGGAAAACCAGGGTGAGTTACTTTTATTGAAATCAATTCTTACTACCAAACCATATTTCTTACGTTACCTTGATCTGTGAACTGAAGCAACCAACACCTTCAGGTTCCTCTAAGATTTAAGATATTTTCAATCTACATAATTAATTCTAAGGATTATTGTAGCCAGGTTGCTGAATATTAAACAATCCAGTCTGTATAGAGAGCAGTTTATGTTTGAAGAAAACGACCTTACTGATATTGTTTTGGAGATTAAAGTGCAAAATATTCGACGCAGTACTTATCGGTATCTTCGGAATAGAATGCGATGCTAAGCAATCAACGGGCTTTTATAAGTACCGATCTGATCGATCAGTCAAAGAGCGTATTTACATCAACTTCATTAATAAAGCGAATGTCCACTTACGGCGAATGCGATGGAAAGATACGACTGAGAAGCGACATGTTTATGGCCCAGTAACCTTCATGTAACAGCTTTGAACAGTGATTCATAATTACCCACTAAAATATATCGATTTCTATGAAACAAAAAAACCGAAAACAATTACATCCACTAACATGCTGAATACTACTGGTTGATTAAAACTTTTATTGATTCACGTTGCATGCTAACTGAAAGACTGATTTGACAAACCAATGGAAGCAATAAACTATCGTAGTTTCAAACAAGCCCACGGAGGTGGAAGTTCGTAACAATGTAGCCCTCAGTCAGCATTAATTAACATTAGGCAGTGTATGAATAGGTAGGCCATTTTTTGCATTAAGGTCCATGATCAATATAAACCCTGGAAGCACGTAGTGTTCTTGTAGTAGTCAATCAACTACCTTTCTGTGACGAGTGGTGATAACAACTGGCTGCATAATCCTTCCTATCTGCATCGAGGGTGAAAACTATGATAACTGGTTACTAGAAGAAAGCCGACTTCAATGAGCCTCAAAACTCCTGAACTAATAGCTTCCAAATTAACTCGGTGTCTTACTTACCTGGTGCTTGTATCTTCAATTAAGATGTTGATCTCACGCTGATGAAAGTGCATATTTCCTGAGTTTGAATAGGCAAATTTGCAGACATGATAAATTTTTAAGCAATGGGAACGCTATAAGGACATTGCTAACACATTTTCATTTTGATACAACTCACTAAATGACTATCAGGTCAAATACTAGCTTCGTCGTAAAACTGCATAGTGACAGCGGAAATCATATTCTTTGAATATTAGTATTTGATAAGCTTTCGCCCTACATTACCTGGCAGCATAAAATTTCTGTAGCCCTCATCATCCACTTCATAGGAAAATTCGTGTCGATGGTTGTTTTCACCTTCTTGAACTAATGCAGTGAATACTGAGAAATCCTAATAAAGGCTAACCGAACATGACATGGTGTTTGTTCATTCCCTGCTAATAGCTTTGATTACAGTTCTTTTTATTAATTCATTCTGTTAGAAAGACCAAGAAAACCTTGGTTTCCTAAGACCACAAACTTATGACCAGTTGTTCGGATCTGTTCAAGATCACCAAACACCATGAGCAGTCTACAATTCAGATTGTTGCAGGCGGTGTCTCACTGTTGTAAAGCCTTCTAAGTTAGTGGACCAAGCAGTAAGTCCGCACTTGTACGCATACTAAGCAGGTAGGGCAAAAACAGTGCGCGTATTTACCTGAGAACTTAAAACCATCCAAGTTTTATGGCATCGTGGTACGAGCAACGAAAATTTAAATGGCTTCAGTTACGCTGGAAAGCGAAAATATGCGTCGTCTTTTATCCAAAGAATTGCAGTTGTCTCATCAGTTAGTTTTTTTTCCCTATTTTAGGCTTACTAGCCATGAAGCCGAGTTGATTTCTGATCCTCATATTATTTTTTCATATTCGAAGAAACTGCAGAACTACTACAGACCCTTTTATTATAATCCATAACTTACATACTGTGATTACCATTATTATTATTATTATTACCAATTATTATGAACAAATAAACAAGAATACATGATGCTCAGTCGCGTAATGTAAAACCGATTCTTATTTGAAAATCAAAATGTCAATATTAAAGCAAATTATGTGCAAATTTACCAACTAGACGAGTTGTGCATGAAAATATATCGAAAGGACTTCAAGTTAACCAATAAGAATCCTGAACGACACAGCAGGGACGAGCCCGACACGACTTTACTTATTAGGCTGCCACAGTAGTTGAGCGGAGACTAATAACACTGCTGTTCAACAATACAGATGGACTTAAAAGTCTAAACCCATGATTTAGAAGTATTCACGTAAATGAGCTAAACCACTACAATAGAGAAGTACCCAACAGTTTGTAGACTAACCTCTGTCAAACTTTCGTAGCAAAAGCCCATTTTAAGTAGAAAGAAACCTATAAACAATTTCTCCATAATTTTTTTTGGAAATTTGCCAACAGTCGACTAGTGCGTAACACAACTGATGTACAAACGGTTGATAGTGAATAATTGCAACTAGAGGATTTTGGATATGATAGAGTATCAAAAACATGATGGCAGACGGAAGGGAAAGCACTGGGACAAACGTAGAAGGTAGAAATTAGCTTTGCTATGCAAAGTAACAACAACTGGTAAAGTTGGTTTAACTATTCATTAGAAAGTACAAAACTGCTACATCGCATTATCCACTAGGCAGGACTAAGTAACCGCATCAAATGAGAAAACAAAAAAGACTTTCATGGAAGCAATGTTTGCATAGAAATTACTAACAATGACAAACAAGGCTTGGTTTCTACCAACGTAACTCAGTAGTGAATTGAAATCCATCATGTCATGAGATTTGTACAGGGGGGCTCATTCTCATGGTTGGAAGTGAACAATCAACATTCCCGTCTAGACTCCAGGAGGGGGTGGTGGTGGCGGTGGCTGACTAGCTATCGGCGCGGCATAGCTACCTGTATATCCTGCCCAATAATCAGTAGGCGTTGGTAAATAATACGGAGGGACAAATCCCGAACCTAAAAAATAAAGTTAAATGAAGTTTTACAGCAGGCTAACATTCAAAAAGTGACATAAAAACCAACAAAAAATGCCTGTAACACCCTAACGAAACGAAACGAATGATCTTCAACTTAGAACAAAAATCATGTTCATCAGACAGTCCCAGTAAAATCAGTCATGAAGAAAGTTTGAGCACTGAACACAACCCGAGCTTAGTCTGAGCACAACCAATGGATTACCAACTCTCACCAGCAAAACACTGCTCTTGGAAAAAAACCCAGTTCCCATAAAAGCGCAGGCAACTCGATCACCACTAATG